GTGGGAATCTGTAAGGGACAAATATTGAGAGTTAATATTGGTAAAATTTAAATGAAAAAAAATTTTTAGGACTATTACTAGTAAAAAAAAAACCTTTTTTTTTCATTTTATGTCATTTCCCTCCATGATGTCCATTTATTTGTAATCTCTGGTGCTTTATAACTTTCGCTTCTCTCTGCCTTGGTGGGGGAAACCTAGTAGTTCATAGCTCACATTGTCATTATAGAGATTAAATAAAAGACAACAAATGAGGCATATACAGCAGTGCGGAGCACATATTATGTGCTTAATCATTGGCTTTTATGATTTCACTCACCTTCTTTCAAAAACTCTTTGAAGCAACCCAGAGACTCAAAGATGGTAGATATTTTCTATCCTATTTTCCAAGTTGGAAAACTAGTGATCATACAGACTAACAATGCATCTCTGATTATGGAGTCACATGAGTTACTAAGTTTATGAATCCACAATATCTAAGTAATAATGCATTGCCCTTCCTATTGCATTACGTTGCTTAGACGGAGAGAAGAAAAGAAAGGACATTTGGATGCTACATAATAAAAGGGCTATAAGGCAGAGAATGAAACCAAGTTGTAAGAGGTGTATTATTTTTCTATTGCTGCTGTAACAAGTAACCACAACCTTAGTGACTTAAACAACACGCATTTATTATCTGACAGTTCTGTGGGTTAGAACACATGATTCGCTCTGCGATAAAAATCAAGGCGTTGGAAGGGCTGCATTTCTTTCTGAAGGTTCTCAGGGAGAGTGTTGCCTTGCTTTTTCTAGCTTCTAGAGGCCACCTGCATTCTTTCATCCAGCCTCAAAGCCAGTGGTGGCGGGTTGAGTCCTCACTTTGCATCACTCTGACCTATTCCTCTGTTCCCCTCTTCTACTTTTAAAGACCCTTGTGATTACACTGGGTCCACCTGGATAATCCAGGATAATCTTCCTATTTTTAAGTTCAGCTGATTAGCAAACCTAATCTTCTTTTTCCATGTAAAGTAACATATTCCCAGGTTCCAGGGATCAGGATGTGGACATCTTTGGGCGGATTGCAGGCCATATTCTGCCTATTCCAAAGGAATAGTTAATTCTAAGGGGAATATTGGGAAAGGGATCCCCCAAGGACGAAAGGAAGGGGCAGGTGCTTGTGGGCACAATGTTTTCAAATGGACATGTTAGAGGTATCGCTGCAAGCTATCTGCATATATTATTAACTTACATTGATTTTGGCAGACAAGAAAACCTCTTGATGATTTTCACATGGCTAAACCAAGAGCCTCTTTCATACTTCCTTTGTGCTTTTATTTTTCAATTTAAATCAATGTAGGGACTTTCATATATTCCTGTTAAATTTTATCTTTATATTTTAGTGCAGAGTTCAAGTTGTTAATATAATTTTGTTTCCTGGTCCTGTCTTCGGAATGGAACTTTGGCAACAATATCCAACTTACTTCTAGTTTACCTAATTATAATTATATCAAGCCATTATTTTGCAGTCTCATCCACAAATATCATGAAAGACTGGATTAAATGCTTTGCTGAAATTAATTTCTGTCATGACTATACAATTCTCATTTTAACTCAAAGATCAAATAAAAAAGTACGGTATGACTTATCTTTAGTTAGTCTGGTTCTTAGTGACCATTCTCTTCTAAATGTTTGCAAAGTATATTGAAGTATGAATTCTGGAATTTTACTTTTCTGTTCTAAAGCTTTTAGTGTCTATCTTTAAACCAGTTTTCGAAAGCAGAGGATCTGTCGTCTTGTTTCCATTTTTTACAGTTTCTCTGAACTTACCAGTCATGGGTCTTAGGTTACCTGTAAATAGCTGTGGGATGTAATTTGTGCCGGGAAACATGAACTTATTTGAAACAGATAGGTGCTTGATCATTATCCCCTCACCTCTCTTGAGTTTCACTTCTTTCTGTACTTAGTTTCACCTTTACCGCCTTAAATTCCATTTTCCTTACTGAAGAAAAAACACACAGATCGAGTCAACTTTCCTTTTTAGCCTTTACATTATTCTCTTCGGTAAATTGATAATTTTGTGTTTATAAAAACCCTGGCAGGCATAATTATTTCTCTGTGCCCTCGATCATACTCCATGCTGGTTAAGCCCATCTTCCCAGCTTTTCCTCTGGAAGGTACCAGGTAACTCCAGCCCTCAATGTTTTCTCTACAGCACTTTATACCACATCGTTTAACGGTGGAACAGGTATCACCCTCCATTTGATGCTCCTTAATTATTTATTTTGTTGTCTTTCAGAATAATTGTAGATTTCTTTGCAAAGTTGAGGTTCTTGCTAAGCAAGAATATCAGGTGCTCGATAGATACTGTGGGTTAGTTGGAGTTTTTTTAAATATCAAATTTGGCTAGATATTCTTCACATATTAATCTCCTTGACTAATTTTCCTGTAATAAAAGCCAAACAAACTAAAATTACCTTTAGAAGTCGTTCTCATCTCCAACCTTCCACCGATTATTAATTAATCATTTCTCTAAGCTATTTAATAATAATCTCAGCCACATTTGAGATGGCAGTTTGGAATTCTATTGCTGAAGATGCAAGATTCTCTTTCTACTTTGTCAGTCAAGTCTGTGTTTCTTTATTTGTCCGGCCTTATTCTAGAAAAAGATTCTAATTTGAAACTCTTCTAAATTATACCTAATTTAAACCCTGAATTTAGAAACCACATCCTTTCTCTTGGCACTTTTTTTAGCTTGGAGAAATGGTAAATGTTTAAAAACAAGGAATTATAAGGAGTGCTTAATAGTAATAATTTAAAAATGGTGTATGTAATTTTCAATGCATTGATAATCATGCAGAATACGGTACTGATGCGACACTGGGAAAAGGGTAGCAAGCTTACTTCTCTTTTCTGCATTAAATACTGTCAAAATTCTGGTTCACCATTTATTTTGTTCAGCTAGGCAACTTGTTAAATCTCAGTCTGTGACTTCTATGATCTATGTATTCCCATGTGATTTATTTGTCTAAAAATCTATTAATGAGATGTGGGGATTTGGGGTGCCGTCATGACAACCACACAGTATGGCTTGTTTGCTATTTCCTAGATACAGAAGCTCGGAAAGGAACATCTTTCCTGCAGATGCTTATTTAGTACTGGGACCTGGTAACTATGGAAATTTAGATTGAGATTATGTGGCTAAATTGTTTACAAGGTACACAAAAACTGATAACTAGCTGGCTCAAAGAGACAGTAAAATATGTTATGGTCGATATATTTTTTGTGAGGAGAGTTTCGGAGAGCTGGGTTTTGGTCTTCAAACGAGTAGAAGCACCAGCAGACAGAATGAATGACCGAGAACCTTATAAAAACAAGAAGCTCAGGAAACAAATGTCTCCTTTAGTGATAGAAAAGATGAGGAGACTTCTGAAGTTAGAGCAGGTTGAGACTACTAGTGAGAAGTACAACTTTAGAGTTGAGATGAATATGTGTTTCAGTAACACATTTTTACCAAGTTTATTTATCTTTGACCTCCATCGACATACTTGACCATTAGGAATTCATTCTTCCGAATTTGTAACTAACATGTTTTAGATATTTCAAAAGAGAAAAAATACATGGTTGAATAGTTTTTATTACCTGCCTTCTTCAGTTTTCCTGCATAGTTTCTAGGACATTCTATTTGCACTCCACTGCCAGATTTTTAATCATCATGGACTCTGCTAAACCTCTTTGAATTTCTCATTTAATCCATATTGGGTAGGAGAAATAAAACCCGATTCCTTGATATATATATGTATTTGTTGTTGTTGTTTTGTTTTGTTTTTCCCTTGGTAGAATTTAGCTGTGACGGTTGGAGAGATTTGGTTTAAATCTGAAAAGCAGAAAAACAAAGATATGTACAAATACATGGTGTACACAGGATTAACAGAATTTAAATAAAGTCTTTAAATAGTTAAATTCCCCAAAGTAAAGAACTGTGCCAGAAATATGACCGTACAGAAATCTGGAGAGGAAAATCTAACGCTAGCGTTGAGCTTTTCTTTCCTTTACAATAACTTTTGACTACCATTTAGGTCACTTTGGGCAATAAAACTCAAAACATCGGTTTATATTTTTAGCAAAAATAAGTGCGGGTTTAGAATCTCCCACAGATGCCTGTGTGTCAGGCCGTTTGGAAAATTCAGGATCCGCCACATTCCCAGACTCTCCTGAGGACACTTTAGAAACTAAAAGCATCCTCAAGTGTCCAGATGTCCCAGGTCGGTGACTGATGGGGGAACGAGGCAGCAGTTAGGAGGGAATGAGGACACTGCAACCCAGACACTGCAGCGGGGAGGACAAGGGGCAGCGGAGTGAATCGAAATACAGTCCTGGGAGAGGGCCACTCAGAAGCCGGGAAACAGACAAGAAAGGGTTCACTAAAACTAGGCACCACCGGGAAGGCTGATGGGAGGGCTGCATGCAGGTCAAGGTCAAACGCTAGGAGGCGGCAGCGTTTGGACTCAAACGTGAGCCCCCGACTTCAGGCCCGTTATTTTGCCTGTCCCTTGAGGGAGAGCGTGCCGAGGTCTCCGCAGACAGTACAGATCTCAAGCTCCCTCCAGGGCCCGGGCCAGAGACACTCACGCTCTGCTGCTGGGCGCGCGCGCGCGCATGCCCGGGCCTCAGTGCGTCCCCGCTCGCCCCGCCCCCTCGGAGCCCCGCCCCCAGGTGCGCGGACTTCGCGGGCGCGTCAACCCCACAGCCCGCGCCGGGATGCGCGGGGCCGAGCGCCGAGCGCCGAGCGCGCGTGTCCGCAGATCCCGGTTCTTCGGGAGCCCCGCCCCCAGGTGCGTTCGGCAGGAGGCGGAAGGAGGCTTCCGGCGTTGCGCGCTCCCCTCGCAGGCGCGCTGCCGGCCCTGCGGCTCCGGGGCGCACGGGGCCGAGCGGCAGGGGCGCGCGCGCCGGGCCGCGCTCTCTCTCTCACGCACACTCCCGTTTCCGAGCTCCGTCACCCGCGCAGAGTGTCTCCCCAGGCGGAGCGTGTCCCTGCCTGACCGCGCTGCGGCTCGGCCCTGAGGTGAGGGGGGGCTTGGAGGGCAGCGGCGCTGGCGGCTCGCCCGGGGTTGGAGCCGCGGGGAGGGACGCCGCCCCTTCGGGAGCGAGGGGCGGAGGAGAGGCGGGCGAGGGAGAGGGGTGGCGGGGAGGGGGCCGAGGGGCGGGCCGGCCGGCGAGCTGAGGGGGGCGGGAGGAGCCGCCAGGTGGGAGGAAGCGCGGTTTGCGGCAGGCCGCGTCGGGGTCGCGGTGGCCGCTGCCCGGGTGTCACGCGCGGGTGCGGGGGCCGCCGCGGGACGGCTGCTTGGCTGCATTGGGCACGACGGGGTCGGGTCCCTCGCAGGGCGGCGAGGGAGGGAAAATGTGCGAGTACGTTTCCCTCCAGGCGCCTCAGGCGCTGAGCGCTGGTCACTCCCCGGGGGCTCTCGCGCCGCTCCTTACCCTGGGTGTTAGAAGGGGAGTTTGGGTGAGAGGAGGACGCGCAGGTCTCATGACATGATGTGGGGGGAAATGCCCTGATTCCTGAAACGCAAGGCAGAGCTCGGGCATGAAAAGATTTCCGCGTCCCAGAAAGCTGGTTAGGCAGGAGGTATCCATGTATGGGTTGGAGGCGCTAGCAGCTCGGAGGGGGGTTTCTCCAGTGCTCAGGGGGCTAACATGCCCCTTTTTGGACAAATAACTCAGAAAGACTATAGATGATCACATGCTTTCTGTCGAGGACGTTCTGAAGGAACAGAAGGGGAGAAGAGATGTGTTTGGCTCTCACCTGTGAGCCAGGCTCCGTGTTAATCTCATTTCATCCTGACAGCAAGCCGTTGAGGTTGGGCACAGGTGGAAAATGGGTCACAAAAGAGGTTTAGTCACTTACGGAGGTCTCAGTTAGCAAAAAGGTAGAACGAAGATTCTAACCCAGGGATGCCTGACTCTAAATCCTGGTGCTTTCTTTACCCACCATATTTTGTGTCTGCCCAAGAGAGCCATATAATGGGTATCTTCAGGGAAGACTCCCTACAAGAGAACACTATTAGGGCAGTTAAGCTTCTTGGGATGGTTGGCTTCGAATCAAACTAACAAGGCAATAAATAATCCTTGACTGTGTGCTGTTGGAGTCTGTTTCCCTTTAAACAGGGTTTGGTATAAGAAATCTTACAGTCTGGGTCAAAGCAAATTTATTAATACTATACGTGTTTATTTGAATGTCTTTCCTATTCCAGATACTCTGTGGGAAGAGTACCAAGATGAATACGGTTTTTATAATCTCTGCCCTTGGGTTAATTGAGAGGATGATCATGTAAAATAATTTTGCCGTATTCTACTAAGTCATAATCTTTACTAGCATGCAAATTAATTGGATTAAAATAGTTGTGAGCTCAAGCTTTTAGGAACCTATTATATGTTAGAAAAGGGATGGGATAACTGGTTATGTGGGCACCATTGCATTGTTGTTTTCCCGTTCAACAACAAAAAAATACTGTCATAAAATTCAGGTTAAGTCATGTTGACAGTATTTTGTTTTATCATATTACCTGCAGTAAATTTCAAAACATGAGAAGAAGGGAGTATTTATGATTTACCCCGTTAAGTTAAATTTCATGGTGCTTTTATTAGTTGAGAAACCAGTGATGTAATTTGGCAGGAATTTCTTTCAAGGCATCTGTCAAATATATTCTTAACCTCTTCCAAAAAATAAACCTTAAATATCAGATTCTGTTTAAGCTTTTATGGTTCAGATTTTTAACGAAAACAGTTATCAGGTTAGCCAGAAATGGAATATTGTTGAAATATTTAGCATTATCGTAGGCATAGTTGCAGGTGGAAGGAAAGGGAGGATAGTGGGACATTTGGAAATTTCTTCTGATTGCTTCAGTTTTTTCAGTGAAGTAGGAATCAAGGTTTTAATCTGAGTGTGATGCTGCTGGTCGGAGTGGAGGTTTGGGGATTGGGAGAGTGAATGGAGTAGTGAAATACATGATTGCTAGGCAATTAAACAATTATTCTTAGGTATGAAAAGCAAAGTAGAGGAAATACAGGGTGCTATATGTGGGTGCACAATGTAAAGGTGTCTAACCTAATTTTGTGTACTGGGTATTTCACAACCCATCTCCAGAGCCTGTCTTTTCAGTGTCATCTAGCGCAATACACCTGCCCCCTTTGCCCATGCTTCGGCCACGTCACAGGAATCCATGGTCCTTATACAAGTCAAGCCCTTTTGGATTCTAGCTTTCCCGTTCTTTTTTCTTTGCCTGAAATTTCCATTCCATTCTTTCCCCAATTGGACTTAATACATTATATTAAATTTTATCTATGTGCAAAGTCATTGACAGTGTCTTTTTTTTCCCATTATGTTTGATGCATAAATTTCTTAGTAAGTATTAAATGAATGTGCCACTTTTCTTCTTTCTCCCTCCTTTAATCTGGAACGGGTCAGCAAACTTTCTGTATAGAGCTAGATAGTAAATATTTTAGGTTTTGTGGACTATATGGCCTCTGTATCAACTCTGCCATTGTAGCACAAAAGCAATCATAGAAAATACAGAAACGGGTGAGCATGGCAGTATTTGAATAACTATTTATAGTCATGAAATATGAATTTCATGTAATTTTTACATGTCACAAGTATTATTCTTTGATCCCCCTCTCCCCCGGCCATTTAATAATGTGAAAAACACTCTTAACTCATGGGCTGTACAAAACAGGCTCTGCTCTAAATTTAGCTCCTACCTCCTTCATCGTAGTTGGCAGACCTTTGATCTATAAGGACTCTTAGCAAGCCCTTTAATAAAGGAATTTGTAGTAAGAAGATGTTGGTTATAATATTACCATTGACGGTGGAGAAGCAAAGATAAAGCAGTCTTTTTTGGTCAAGAATCTCATGGTCAAGTTCAAGATTAAGACATGTAAACAAATAGTGATGAGGACACAGTATGGGAACTGCAATTAGTTTATTGATTGGATATGGAAGTGGTAGAAAGTAGTGATAATCATCTTTGCTTCGTGGACTAGGAGTAACCTCAGACAGTTATCTGTTGGAGATGGGGAACATTTTCAGCAAAGAGCCATTCCAAAAATCTTTGAAGCTTGCTAAAAAGGTGACTGACCTCATCTCTTACCAGGACAACTCAACTTCTTTATTTTATAGGATATAATCTTGATTCATTTCTCTCAGAAATAAAACTAATACATTCCAAATAATTTCTAACAATTATTTGTAACAGTCCTGCACTTTTTTTATTGCTTTGAGAAAGGTAAAATATATTTCACAGCAGGTATAATATAATAATCAATATTTCTTTAATAAACAAATGAATATTTGATATTGAATACTGGATTATATCACTTCTAGTCTTAAGTCAGTTATCAATATATTAGAAAAGGAAGATGAGCTTTAGTGGGCTTTGAATTTTCCTGCAATTTATATAGATTTATATAGATTTAGTATGAATTGTTTTTATCTAGGAAAGTTAAATACTTGATTAAACCTTTAGTGATATTAGGTGTTTAAAACTTACCTAGTTATTATTTAAAAGCTCTACAGCAAACTTAATGCATTCCCCATGTATGCTGTGGAGCAATGGAAAGTAACGTACAATGTTTAAGAATAATTGTGTACTCTGTGTGTCTGTCATTGCTTTTAGCATTGTTTTAAGAATTGGCTTTGTTAGACAGTTTTAAAGATACTGGTCTGGTACGTCTTTGCCCTGGAACTATATCAGGTATTATAAGTTTTCCAAAAAGTATGATTTGTTAAAAATATGCCATTAGAAGTTTTATTGTATTTCAGTTCTTAGCCTGTGCTTTCAAGGATCCTCTTCTAGTGTGTGCTGCAAAAGAGAAAGTCCTATGTGTCATCTACTCAAAAAGCTCCTTTGATGTTGTGTAGTCCTTTCCTCCATTCACAACTCTCCCGTGGCTTTCATGAACTCTATCACAAGTGAGTGAACTCCTGGATGTGAGATCCTGTTCCCACTTACGGACAGTGTCAAATGTGGGGCTGGCTAAGCATCTTTTCTTGCCTTTTCCTTTTGTTCTTTTGAATGCCTTTATAAGGCTATAAAGCTTGAGATAACTAAAGAGAATTAGAGTGCATAAAGAAGACATTTAGAGCCCTGTGCTAAATATGGCTTTTCTTATGGTTTAGGAGAAGGCACCTGACAAGTTAAACTCTTCACAGTTGTCCCGTCACTGGCCACACCTCATTTCTAACTTTGCAGCCTTGTTTCAGTTACATCTGTCAAAAGCACCACTTTTTTTTTATTTTATTTATTTTTATTTATTTTTTAATTATTTTTATTTAAACTCAACCTATAATGTATATTGGTTTCAGAGGTAAAGGTCAGTGATTCATCAGTCTTATATAATACCCAGGGCTCATTACATCACAGGCCTCCCTTAATGGCCATCACCCACTTACCCCATCCCGCACACCCCCCCACCCCCAGCAACCCTCAGTTTGTTTCCTATGCTTGAGTCTTTCATGGTTTGTCTCCCTTTCTGATTTCATCTTGTTTTATTTCTTCCTCTCTTCCCCTATGATCCTTTGTTTTGTTTCTTAAATTCCACGTATCAGCAAGATCATATGATAATTGTCTTTCTCTGATTGACTTATTTGGCTCAGCGTAACAACCTCTAGTCACGTAAGCATTTTTCTCACAGATAAGATTTTCAAAGAAACTACTAGAAATCAGGTCGAGGGAACAAAATGGATTCTTTTTGGCATAAGGATACCCATACTCTACAAGACACAAATGTATACATATATGTTTTAATAGCAGAGTCATCTAGTTAAATTATTCTTGTCTGCCTTGGTGGTATTTGCTAAGCTTATTTAGAGAAACTGGTTTATCTGTAGATGTCATCCCTATCTCTTTGTCATTCCCTGAAATTGAGGAGAAATTATTTCTATTTTTACCTGGCCACACTCAGTTATGTTTGATGGGCCTCCTCCGATTTTTTTTTTTAATTTTATTGTTATGCTAGTCACCATAAAATACATCATTAGTTTTTGATGTGGTGATCCACGATCCA